GTGTCTGGTGATAACAGACGAAATTCATGAGAAATGGGGTGAGAGGCCAACATTCCTTATGACAGACGTGTTGCATAGGCAAGTAGTGATAAAGAGCTTATCCACTGCTGTTTCCTACACCCAGTCCCATGATCATAAGGCACAGTGTGCAAATAATAAACCTCGAGATTCTTACTGCTGCAGGGAGGAAAGATCTGATGAAGAAAGGTGATGAAAACCAAAGTTAAACATTTACAATGAATAGCACACTTATGTTCATAGTAAAGTTCCTAAATCACATGAGAGACCATGTTTTCCTTAACGGTTTAGCAGGCAAGAATGCTACAAGTCAAAGGGAAATGACAATGGCAAACAATTGTGCCGACTGTATTTGAGCCAAAAGTTTAAATGTCCTTCAAGAATGAAGATATTTATTGTTTGACAAAATCTTGTCTGTTTGAGCAGGAAGTATTTAGGCCTTTTGGGGTATTGTGTGTAAGGGTTTCCACTAAGTGATTTAATGTGTTGGAGTAGTTGTTAAATGGTGTTGAAGAACAGATTGTTGGGACAAATTCAAATTCAAATACAATACTTTAGATATTTTGTGATATATCAATGTCTACATAGATATTGAGATCTTGGGATCTGTTGGCACTTTAAAGGAAGCCTGGCTTTATGCTGTATTTTTCTAGTTTACTGTCAGCAAATCCAATGAAAAGACCAAAACTAAAAATGTGTTTGTCTCCGGATATTTTTGTCACACTGTGGCACTCAGCCCCAAGTGCATTTGTTCCTTCTGAAGGCGTAAATCTTTAAAATAATGGTGACAAATATAGGCTCGTATAAAAAAAGAGGCTTTCCATTTTCCTTAAAACAACTGTGCTGAATAGTTTTCAGCAACGTTACTCAAACAGCGGTAAACAACATTTTTTTGGGGACTATACATTTGATATACTAATAAGTATTTACAGAAACAGGACAGTGTATGTGTGATTGTCTTAAAATAAACTATAGTGCCCATTGTATCAAGGAACATTTGTGGCTTATCTTCTACATGAGTTTATAATCCTTTTTAGACACCAATAGAGGCCTACTTGTAGGGCAAATTGGGTGTTGATTCCATTCATTTTATTGGTTTTGTTGAATTTGCTAGCCTTATCATATACAGAAAAGACTTATTCAATAAATGCTCATATGCTGCTTCAAAAGAAGGATACTGCAACTTTAGATTGTACTCAAAACAGGCTTTGTTTTGAACAAGGTAATGAGTTTACTTTGTTTTTGAAGCTGCATCATTTGACTGTCCCCATCTTTTATCTGAAACAGCAGCAGTACTGTTTGGCTCCTCACTACCTTTGATAAATTGTGCTGTCCATGTGACTAACACCATGTGCCTCATTCACTTAGCTCCAGCACCTAAAAGGTCGATTGCTGATTAAATATCTTGTTCCATTCCTTAGCCAAACATAGTCCTAAAGCCCACTAGGTAAATTATACAAACATGCCTTTCATAGGCTAATCTTTATTGGAATACCAGCTCAAACAATAGATCGCTCATCTTTCAGTCGTATACATAACGAAAGCATTGGCCCACAAGGGAAAACTGTAGCCGGGTGCTGCTGGGATAAACAAGTTTCTGTCATTCACACTTGCAAATCCAATACTTTCTGGATTCAGTAGCTGACACCACCCTGATAGAATGTAATACAATGCAACATAATAGAACTTTGTCTCGAAGAAAGAAGCGCTTGGGCCGTGAAGCATAGTTACTTAAGAAGGTTTGTGTCATGGCATAGGGAGAAACCTGTTCAGTGTTAATTTATTAAAGTGAGCAATCACTTTTTGTGGGAGCCTGCACTTATAAATCGTCTCACAACAATTATATTACCTCTAGACTTGGAACAAATTCTGTTTTTCATTACTAACGCTAGCAACTGTTGCAAGCTGTTATTCATTCATCATGTCTGTTATAAGGTTTTACATAATTTAGCAGATTTCTTCACTATTTCATTAATTATTCATCTCGATATGATTTTAACTGGGGATTGTTTACTCAGCAGTACAAACAGGAAGAGAGCCATAATTGCGAAAAAAACAAGCACAGGCATGAGAACATGGAGTAAATTGAGATGCACCATTGCACAGTATTTTGGTTGGACAAGTGACAAGATAGACCAACAGTACGAGGCAACCTGCCAGGCTCATAATTACAAATGGACAGGTTGTGGCTCTGTTTCTGGTCTACAGCTTGAAATCAAAGCCATTTGGTTCAGCCTCACTGGATTACTGGAAATAAATACAATGCATTGTAAGTTAATAGGCATATTGTTATCTTTTTAGCTGAATAGATGCCACGGGTAAGAAACATTTTCTAGTCCATCCCATTGTTGTAGCTTGCATAATCTGGCGAAGACACTGTAACAGATATTCAGGAAAACTGACTTGAAGTATTGGACTCCACTGCATTTTTTGTTTAACAAAGATACAGTTTTTTTGTATTAACTCTTAATGGACCCGGGTACAATGTCTTCATATTATAGATTTTATATATATCAGTATACTTTGTATCACTGTTGCAGCCATAGATCTATGGGAAACTCTCTGGTTGCTTCTTGGGCATGGTCTATTTTTTTTACAAAAATATTGCTTAATTATGCTCATTAGAGATCTTAATATTTACGAATATATAAAATACAATGGCATCTGACACTGTTCTGCACCCAGTTCAGTTTTGGCCCGATATTCTCTCAGTGACGGTTCTGCAGTTCTGACCTGATATTCTGAAAGTTCAAAAATTTGAATAGGACCTATATGTTGATTGCATACTGTGTTTGGTTGTTATATATTATATATATTGTTAATATTAAACTACTCGATAACAGCTTTAAAAATGGTGGACTGATCTGAATCTGTTTACATGTTTTATTATGTGATATACATAACAGGCTTACTAACGGCAGTCAAACTAACACATAGTGACATTGTATATAATGTAGAATTTGTTTGATAAATTTACTAATTTTGAAGAAATAACAAAGGATTATAAACTAATATCCACCTGGATTGCATGCGATGATTCTGTACCAGTACTGTATGAAGTCCTGCTGTATTATTGTCATCATCACTGTTTTCTTTAAGCAGAATCAACATGAAGTTTCTAAGAAACGTAGACAAAGAAGACTAATGTTTTCTTTTAAAACAACTGTGGAAGATCACAGGAATTGTTGGGGAGTGAGTTTAACATGAGCGTTATGTTAAATGTGTATACTTTTTTCTGGTGAAGATGGGATAATCTCATAAATTTTGTTAGATTAAAACAAGATGCGCACAAATTAATCAAAACACGTTCAATAGCTATCTTCCCCTGTTCTCACCAGACAGGAATGAAGCCAGTGTTAACAGCTTGCTAACAGTGGGGTTCAAGCACATGGAGGAGAAAGTTTTGTATGCAAAGGGAGTCAGCCATTTATATCACTAATACAACAAGTTCATGAGATAGTTTGCATAGAGGTATAATAAACTGTGTCCATGAAACTCATGTCCAACATTAGTTGGTAGAAGCTAACAGTGTACCCAAACATATTTCCTAATAATTATATAAAAAAAAGTGTCTTCCATGTCTCAGCTCAGAATTAGAGTGCCTTCAGATGCCTTTTGTCATGCAGCCCCTTCGACTTTACCTCAGCAGGGGCGCTGCAAATTAAAAAGTGAAAAAGTTAGCCGCTCATCATTGGCAATGGAGGTCTGGATTGAGTTCCTTAATTATAAGAATTTGCTGTGCCTCTGTAGATGTGTTAAACTCAAGAATGTGCACGCACAAACTGACTGAAACGTGACCTGTCTATGCACACACATTCACATGCAAGCATGTGCGCAGGCTTATGAAGGCAAGCACACACACTTTAACGCATGAACACACATCCACACGCATTCATACTTCAGCACTGAAACTCCTAGTTTAAGTCTTCAGACATTTTCACATCTGCTTGAGCTACCCCCACACGCAGCAGGGTGCTGGGCAGCCACGTGGCATAGCACTGCACAGCATGGCTCTACATAGATGAAGACAACATCCCCACCCACGCACCCTCTGACACCCGTCCTCCCCACTGACAAGACGCAAAGAGTGAGGAGAGCTGCATGAAAGATTTACTAACCAACTGAGGTGGTCTCCCTTAGAAGCTGAGTGGAGGCCGGTGGATGGAGGGGAAAAGGAGGGAGGGAATTCCAGGGAGAATCCCGGAGTGTCTGAAGTGTGATTTTGTATTCAGAGAAGAGATTTAGTATTCTACCACTCAGCAGTGATCAGTCTCACAGAGGCTCTAACCAAGCCTTCGTCACACCATGGATCATGCAGATTGCATCTCAATAGAGTTTGATGGTTGATGGAAGGAGACACTTACCAGCCCCTAAACACAGGCCAATTACAAATTCCAACTTGACTGAGAGAAAGTTTGAAAAGATCATAACACAGAGGTCACTGCAAAGTCACACGGAGGCATGTGGTTTAGGTTTCTGAAATGAAGGCTGCAGAAAAATCTAACTACTGTTCGCAACACAAAGTTTGCTGAAGAGATTTTAACACCTTTTTTCTTTAAGGGCAACCTTATACTTGTCCTTTATTCTGTTTGACAGTGTGAATTGGCTGTGAGGGAAAGCTTATAATAGTCAGCCTGTCATATGAGAATACTGCATGTGCATACAATTGTGCTTTTCCTTTAGTAAACTCTGATAAGGATGTGGTTTGACAGTAATTACGCTCCTAAGCTACCCATGTGAGGCTTAAATACTGCCCGGAGTAATACTAGACTCGCACCTGTGTTGACATGTTGGACTGTTCCGCTTACAAATGTCATGTTGCCATGAGTGTTGTACCTCTGGCATTAAGACATGGGGCATACAACTTTAGTGGAACTAAACTAAATCTAAATAATATCCTGCACTGGGGGGGAAAGCAACTTGCAACTTCTTGGTAAAACTCCTGCACCACTAAATCAGTTCCTCGTGCAGGGTCTTTTCAAAACGTGAGTGCATGAGAGAGTGCTTTAACAGTCAGTCCTGCCAGGAAAGGAGACAGCTCATCTGGCTCTGTCACCAACAATATAATTAGCTTAGGCTGCCTTGCAACCATAGCTATTTATCTGCACTACACAGTCACTTATTTGCGCGGTGCCTAGATTGTGTCACACCGATACCGAGGGTTTTCTTTCGTTATAGAGAGACTTGGATATGCATAACTTAATACCCGAGAATCAGAGGCGGATCTGGTTTTGACACTTTTGTGCATCAGCAGCAAGGATTTGAAGTGACAGTCCCCTAAGACAAATAACTACAGGCCTAATATTTACGACCTTTCAAATGCATGTTACGTCGAAACATTGGGAACAGCCGTCCGCATAGCCGCACGCACGAGCCCCTGGTGTGTTTACAAGCTATGATATTTGTGCATCAGTTGAACCGTGGCACAAAGTTTGTCGCGCGCGCGCTCCGTAAACTGTGCGAGCTTCAGGAAGCACCTGAGGAATTCGCGGTGCGGGCTGAGGTGGGACGGTTCCGCCTCGCGAGTACACAGGGCGCGCGCTCCTGTCTTCATATCACCGACACCTTAATTAATTCTCCGGGCTCCACAAGAAAGACATGCATTACGCAACGCGCACGAGCAGCGAAAGGAAATCTCCGGACATGCACGCAGATAACCATCAAATGACACCAAACACGTGCTGTCATATTTAGCTGGTCTGGATCCAAAATTAATTCCGAGCGTAAGCTTTGTCGCGCACCGGAGTGACTTGTTAACAAGCGCAGCTAACAGCCTGTTTGTGTTTGCACCCTGCAGTCGGTTGCTGGGAACGCACGTTGTAAAATGAGGTTGGGAAGCATCATTTTATTCGTCGCTCTCTGCTCTTTTACCGCTTATTATATTTATGAGCCCATTCCCGAGGAGATAGAGGAGAGATGGAAACTCATGCTGACCAACTCTTTCTTCAGAAGTCTCAGCCACCTGGTAAGGAAAAAACACTGTATTCTTGCAGGCTGCCTTGCTATCTTAGGTCTGCTGGTACTGATAATTACTTTGTAAATAAATCCCTATAGCATGCACTAGCACTGCGACTGAATGTACACGTACTTACTATGTCAGTTTAATATATGATTAGGTCACTTAGCCATATATTGAATACGAAACACCTCAGAGGTGGCAGGTTAAACGTTTATTGTATTTTGCTGATGTGGATATACATGCTGGTTACACCAGATTATGTCAGATGCTAATCCATGTGTTGTATAGTCCTGCTCACCTGTTCTAATAATAGACCCTATTAAGGAAACTGGACTCTGTTAATGACCGTTAGATGCCTGTGGTTTACTGTAGCCCGTTGTGGTGCGGCTAATATGACTATTGGTTTACATACAACTGAGTAATGCCTACATGGTTGCAACATTAGTTTAAAAATGAGTTTTTGCTTTATTTTGCCACACCTTTTTCACTATTAAAAGCTCATCATACTCAGTCCATTAAACAACTAGATGTTGCAGTGGTTAATCACATATATATAAATAAATAATGACATAAAAGTGCACATTCAGGCTACTACAGGACATTGTTGTTAGTGCTGTAGGGAGAATAGTGTTCAGTTTGAAAGGCTGTGAGGAAATCAATATCATTTAGCAAGGACAATTATTTTGTAAAGTAAGATATTCTATTTCTCCTTATTATTATGTAACATCTAATGCATCACAGAAACAAACCTTTTATTTGAGCTTTCATTATTGAATTTTGAAGCCAATGCCCCTCGACCAGGCACACAGCCATTTTTTGGAATGATTGATTACCTGATCGGTGGGTAATTTCTGTAAGTGTTTTGGATTTCAATGAGATTACTCTTGGAGAATGTAATGTAGACAGTGATAGTAAGTGAAAGATATATGTTGTTGTTTTCAAACCAAATATTGTTAAATTTATTTATACTTTTTTTTTGCTGAATAGAATACATTTGTATTGGAACCTGTTCTCTCAGGCTTTTTCTATTTTTACTTAAACAAATTGAAACAGAGAGGGATAGATTGCGCCAGTGTTTTTCTTTTTCAGACTGATATGAGTGCCTGATCGCACGTACAACTTGTAGTGCATGTCTCTTTGATGCAATTGTTGTGGTCACAGTAAAAGAGCATCAGCTGATGAGCCTCATGCTAGCCTCTACCTACCTCATCAGACATAATGGAGTACTAGTCATGCTTTTGTAACTTATCATTGAGTTATATCGTCTCAAAACTGCAGGGGGCTGTTGACATTTTACAAGGCAACATTCACATGAATAGTCTCCCTCTCCCTCTCTCTCTGTAATATGGCCACATAATTTGGCATCCTAGCCCTTTCTGTTTTGAATATTATGAGCTTTGGTCAAGGTGAATGTTTGCATAGGATAAACTGGCCTCCAATATGTTTACTTAATATACAAGAGGTAATATTAATGGCTCAGGTTTGATGAACTTGAGAAAGTCTCCAATGTATCTCTTTCAATATATCATGCGCTTTTTCCCTTTCCAGGCAGACCTCAGTGAGTTACTGGGGCTGAAGGACTATATGGGGGTAATGTACTTCATTACTCTGGCTGAAAAGGTAGTGCCTGTGTCAGATGAGCATGTCAAGGTGACAGAGGAGAAGTTTGATGGAGTGGAGGTGGTACTGTACCAGCCAAAGCAGCAGGGCAGTGACACTGAGCTCAGGAGAGCTGTCATTTACCTACATGGTGGAGGATGGTGTCTGGGGAGTTCCAGTAAGTTGATGGGTTGGCCTGTCTTCTCAGTTATCACACATAATAATGACTCTCTGATAGAAAGATGGATGGAAGGGACGTACACATTCATGTGATGTGTTCATCAGACAGTAATTCTACTATTGCTTTAAGGAAGTACTCACTCTTTGATTGATGTGCCAAATTACTTGACAGCTTTATATAGCCTGCCTATGACAGCTGTTATGACAGGAGCATAAATAATGAACAAACATTCAAACAACAGCCACAAAGCTTTCACAGTTTCCTGCGGAAATAACACACCGTCTGCTGGAGCGGTGGGAAACTCAGAGGGTGGTTACCCTTGCTAATCCAAAATGTAAATACATGACATGCAGTTTGACACATCTCATGCTGTTCTTGCAATCTGTTGAACGGCTGCAACAATTACACTAACATGGATCTTCCCAAGAAATATTGCTAGACTAGATGGCAGGTTCATCTTTGTGACTGCAGTGTTACCTTCATGTAAGGCCACATGCGATATCAGAAATGAATGGATGTCAGTTATTGTGGTTTATGTTACTTTAGAATCCCTAATCTCTCTCTGTCTTCTCTGTTACTGTAGGGATGAGTCCATACGATCTCCTGGCCAGAAAAATGGTCACTGAGCTAGATGCAGTGGTTCTTTCTGTTGAGTAAGTATTTTATAGTCAGTTATATGTATCTTCTGTAATATACTGCAAAAAATGCTCTGTAAAAAAATTGCAATTTGCTCATAGTGTTACAGTGTTGTAAGGTCAGGCACATTTAATGTATTATGGTCATTATTTAGCTCCAGATTTTTTGTTTTGTTCATATTATTCATAGTCAAGTCCCATGGTTTCCCCCACTCTTTCTCTCACACAGAATTTTCTGTGCCTGTCCTCCTTCATTAGTCATAGGCTAGACGGAAGTGAGGATGCAGTAGAGTGAAGCTAACAGGTTTTCATTTGGGTCTCGCCAGGCTTTTCCCTGTCACAGCTACACTCACTGTTGTTATTTGGCACATCCGGCTTTAACTCTGCCTCTCAGTACTGTAACTTTCTTTTGCCAGTCCTCTCTGTCCTATTATTCACTACTCCCAGTTTTTCAGCTTTATAAGTCAAAGGCTACTACTCTTACCTACCCTTTTTAATCTATAATTTCTTTTTTGACATACTGTATTTGGCAGTGGGAGGTAGAGTCAGTTATTGTTGCAGTATTGCCTTATCTGACTCATTCATTTTCCCGTCTGCAATTTGTTAAAGGGTCAAAGAGTAATTCCAGCATTGCCCAATCAACCATGAGTTACATTTCAATTGTAGCGATGACACCAACAGGGCATAGGTCAATGCCAAAAAATATAGTGAAAAAATCAGCATTTAACTATCCAGTGTGAAACATTTACTGAAATCTATTGGCAGAAAAACAAAGTAATATTCATAGGTATGTTTTAATTAGTGCATAATCACCTGAAACTAAGAATTGTTGTGTTTTTGTTACCTTCGAATGAGCCGTGTTTATCTACACGTTTCTCCTACATGCTTGAAAGACTGACCCATATTCAAATGGTTGCAATCTGCAACTTGAGTGCTAGATGTCACTAAAGGCAAACACTGGACATTTAAATGAATGCATGCAACAGTCAGCACGATTTGTAGGTATTTATTTGTAACAACCCAAGCCTGTGCAGAGGTTTTTAAATAACACCCAAATGTAGTAGGATAATACTGATGACGTGTTTTATAATTTACATCATGGTTGAGCAGCTTTCAGTTGTTTTATGTATATATTTATTTTAATGCACTTGTTTCATCTTTAAAACTACAGTTTGTAGTCATTTTACCGAGTGAATTGTAAGTAAGAAGTTAACATGCTAAATCTGCCCTAAATCTGAATTACATTTTGTAATCGCACCCTTTCCACTGTTATTTATATTTTTGTCTGTCTACCTCTTGAAAATGTCATCATGTTTATTTTCCCTGGCTCAAAATGTTGTCTGTGCACATGGCCTTCAAAGCTCCTGTTTATTTATGCTTAAGCTTTAATCTGCACCTTTCTACTTTTGCAGGTACCGTCTTGCCCCTGCTCACCACTTCCCTGTCCCATATGAGGACGTATACCGTGTGGTCAAACACTTCCTCCAGAAGGGGGTGCTGGCCCAGTACTCTGTGGACCCAGGACGCATTGCTGTGTCTGGGGATAGTGCTGGGGGTAACTTGGCAGCTGCGGTCTCCCAGCAGGTACTGAATCTATTTTTTCTTAGAAGTGTCACCTCTATTTTTCTGGTTCACAAATAGAGAAAGAACTGTGAAGAGGTTACACAAGACAAGGTTAATGAGACAGTTTATTATAAATAGTATTACCCTGAACCACAATAACATTTGTTCTGAGCTGGGGCTGAGGTGACCAATAGTAACCCACTATTTCATAGTGTATTCTGTATAACTTAATCTTACGGATCTCAACTGTTTAACAGGTAACTGTTTGTTTTAAGCAAATTTCAGTAGAACTCGCAAGTAACCAGCAGCAATAGATGTTAAAACCGCATTAAACACACTGCTCTCACAATAATTTGTTTATTCTTAGACCAAAAGCTTTGGGGATGTACAAGATAGTTTAGGCCTTGGGAAATTGACAGCACTTAAAATTGACAATAAAGACTTGATCGGGATTATAGAATAAGTAGGAAGTGGTATCTTCATTATAGTTGGTTATGATGAGCACCCTGAATAAGCAGAACTGTCAGCAACTTTGCCTGTAGAGGGGAACTGAGGAGGTGCAGTTATTATTCATGCGTTTTTTAGTATTCATGCTGTTGGAATCTAAGGTCAAATCTGTTCTTTTGACTGAGGTGGATGCTAAGTTTGTTGGACTGAGCTGTGTTAAAGCAGCAGTATAAACAGCAGTGAAGAATTACACTATCCTGGTGAAGCCTGTGGCTGACATGGCTGTCAACACCCTCGCCATGTTGACAGAGGCTGTTAGCATTGACATCGACTGCATTGTAGGGAGATCGACCAATTCTCCAAATGGTGGAATATTGAGAATGCAGAACAACTCACAGTAAAAAAAAAAGAAACCTGGACATTATGTCAAGCTATAAAGTTGATGGACAGTCTATTATTGTTTATGCCGCATGCCATAAAGATGTGCCATAACAACATTTAGGCTACTCATAACATCAGTGCAAGGGGAACTGTTCATTTCATATTACAGTAAAAAAAAGAAGAAAATAAGAGAAAAAGTAAATTCAGTCAAAAATGACTGAATTACTGAAGCAGAGGGACTGGAATTTCATCACACACTAGATCCGTGGAAGCTAATGAAAGAGAAAAAATGTAAGGTACCGAACAGATAAAATGAGGGCACGGAGAATAAGCCTCAGCAAGGTGAGGAGTTAAGCTCTCTTAGGATAACCTCTTGGAATTTAATTGTAATAGTGATTTAGGTTTAGGTTGTAGATGAATTCCATGATACTATCACCTAGCTTCAGTACAGTTTCACACACATTACAAATATTTCGAATGACAGATATTGCATGACTCTGTAACCTATGGTTAGGGCTACTCTTCCATAACACTCTGCATTGGTCGGCAAAGACTTTTACATGTATAATTTAGGCTTTACTCCAATTACCTCAATGTGATGGCTCATTCCAGTTGGTGGGCCTTGTAGCATACAGGCCAGCTGACAAAGCACCTTACACAGTATAGGTTTGGAATCAACTTAAAGAAAAGCACCTAATTTCAGCCAACAGGTGAACTACCGTATGGCCTTCACTGTCGTTGTTTAAGGCCATGGAGAACTTCTAGTGTTGCACTATAGAGAGTAGCTGAACCCTTAAAGTACTTCACTTTCCAGGTCTACAAGATTGTCCCTAGGCACCCTATTAATAGATGTTTGGTGACACTGACACTGACATCATGAGTCAGACATCAGCTTGGTAGATAGGGATCTGTTTACTTCAAGGCAAAACCCCAGTACGCTCACTGCTTTGCACTGTCATGAGGCTGACCCTGTGATGATCCACCCTAATGGGACATGGCTGTCCCCAAAAAAGTTGCTGTATGCCTTTCTTTCCCTTTGTTAAATTTCCCAGAAAATCAGCCTATGGAGGTCTTTGACAGGTAGAAATCCCATGGCACAGCTTGTCGACTTGTGTAGGAGAATGCAGCATTCTACTACTAGTGCATGGATTAGACATATCCTGTTTTATTGTGTTAGTAGTTAGCAGTATTTCATAAAAATAGGTTCAGATACTCTTATATAAAGATATTTTATTCTTTTGAAGCACTTTCTTACCTAAATACAAGTAATGTTCCTAATTTTTATATTTTGTTTTAAGGACCCCCTAAATTACCATATGGTATTATTGATGATCAGAAAATCGGAAAAGATGCATAAGAGACTTATGTATATGAGCTGGTTGAGCATGTTATGTTTTGTTGGACAGCTTTACTGTTGTACCAGTCCAGTTATCTGACTACATTCATGAGTCAGAAGTCTGTTGTAATTCTTGTGTGTTTTTTTGAATCACAATTGCTGTGCATCATCATAATTCCTGGATTTGATTTTGCAGAATAATTTTCAACATTTCAGTGAAGAGACAGACAAGTACACACTCGGGGTGATGCAGTTCTTCCTGTTAACAACCATGACTAGTACTGATCAGATGACATTTCCTATTGATTGAGAAATATTTCTCCTTTTTTCAGTTTTCTTTGATAATCTCTCTCTTTCTTCACAGTTAAAAAAAGAGCCTGGACAACAGGTTCAGTTGAAGGCCCAAGCACTCATCTACCCCGTGCTGCAGGCTCTGGACCTTAACACTCCTTCCTATCAGCAGAACAGAGACATGCCTATTCTGCCCCGCACCCTCATGGTGCGTTTCTGGAGTGAGTACTTCACCAGCGACAAAGCCCTTTTCAGAGCCATGATGGCCAATACCCACAACAACCCTGAATCTTCCAGCCTGCTGAAGTTTGTCAACTGGAGCGCGTTTCTGCCAGAAACATATCATAGAAAATACAACTACAGTGCTCCTGCTGTGGTGCAGGGAATTGAAGGGGAGGAAGTTGGGATTGATGGACCATCTCCATCTTTTGCTGACCCAAGGGCATCGCCCCTGCTGGTTCCAGACTCGGCCTTACACTCTCTTCCCAAGGCCTACATTCTGACATGTGAGTATGATGTTCTCCGAGATGATGGGATCATGTACGTCACACGGCTCCGTGCTGCTGGTGTTGAGGTGACACATGAACACTATGATACAGGATTTCATGGAGGGCTGATGTTCAGCGTGTGGCCAACCGACTTCCTGATTGCACGTCGCATGGCAGACAACTATATCAAATGGCTCATGGACAACTTGTAAAAACTTTTTCCACTCATTCCACCAGTGTTTGCTTTGGTGCAATTTTTTCCCATCTCTTGTTTAACTTTTTGTTGTTAATTTCTTTTTCTTTGGTCATACTGTTTTCTGTAAATATATTGAGAAATATATTAACTTCTTCTTTTTTCCACTCAGGCATTTCACCACATTAGATATCAGGAAGGCCCTATGGGGTGCTGCTCATTCTTGTTTACCACCACAGGACCTGCTACATGATCTGATGCATTGCATCAGTATCAATACTCTTAAGTATAAGTTAGTAATGCATGATCCCATTTGGGATTTTAAGAATCCAGTATAGGTCTTGACAAAATAGGAAAGGATTTTCACAACAGCCAAAAATTATATTTAGTTTGGCCAAAGTTAACATTTATCACTGAGAGCAGCTGATACTGAAATCTAAGATTGTTTTGATGTGTTTGCAAAACCATAACTCCTGTGTTCCTGACATTGCATCAAAAGTTGGCAAGTGCTATTCTGTTATTCTGCTAACACTGTTTTTCACAAGTGAAGAACTAGCCCTCTGTGGGATAACAAATACATGTGACACATGCTTGCTGGTATTGTAAATGATTTAAATTGCAGACTGAATGATATCATCATCAGCACAACATCTCTGTGGATCTTGTCTAATTTCCACATACCTTCGGAAGTATAAAACCAAAAAAATATTTCAAGTCTGGTTTGCTTTGTAATGTCCACATATCAGGCATACCCACAATGAAAAATGATTCACCACATTCCACACAGAATATTGGTATTTATAAGTAAAGACCACGCTGTAACAATGTGCATACCTACAAATATTCTTCACATCATACTTAGAAATTTTTTTTGTGATTGAGTCTAGCTAAGTGTAGAGAGAGTAGCAATATGGCAAAGAGAGGGATAATGTCCAAGAGGGAATTTGGGCAACATTTTATTTGGAGCCTTAATCTTTACAGCACACCACACGCCTCAGCATCTCAAGAGTTCCCTATAATAAGACTTATCGGGATGTGTGTGTACTAACCCCTTCTTTGTTCAAGCATGATTTTATTGAAGTGTGAGTAAACTGCTTTGACGTTTGCTAACCCAAAATCTGCAGTTATTTGGGAATAAAAATAATGCTCATTGAATCATTAAATATGACCATCTACATGTTAACAATAAATAAGCCAGTATAGTTCCCAATATAGACCTGCCTATGTGTAATGCATTAATAAGTAATGACTGTTAGATGAAGTTGCCACTGCAAGTCCAAGTGCCAGCTTAATTTATGAAATGTGTAACATGGAATAGTGTACAGACAAGAGGCTGACATAAAGACTATCCATATCTCTGGACTGTGTAGGTATGACTGCACTTTCTCCCTCAGTCAGCTTTTTGTCCCTGAACCTCTGCTCTAAAAGCATTCAGAGGAAATGAAGTTGTATTTATTTATCCCTGAGGCCCAACAATCATATGAGGTGGCTTGAAACAATCCACTTGTCTCCCTTTTATCTTCTTCATCTCTGTCTGGTGACATCACCCTGGGACTTCTCTGCACATGGGATGGCTATCTACTGTCAAAGATAACAGGGAGGTAACCAAAAAGTAATCCTAAATATAAGTGTATCTGTTCTTCAGTGTCTCACTGTTCTTTAAGCTTTACTGGTCAAAAAAAGCTACAGTTGTTATGAAACATTTGAAGTCTCGGCTTTTAGGAATACCATTGTTTGAATCTCTTTTAAAGTGTTTTTTTCCCCTCAGTTTCTCATTAATATAAAAAAAACTACGCAGTCATATAAAATATGTAACTTTTTCAACAAGGGACAGCTTTAAAACTGTTTTTTTGTTTTCTTAAGCACTGCTACATTCTCAGTTGTAAATATGACTACTTCTGTTTTTATTTGGGATTCCCTCCTGGAGAACTTCTGATTTGCAATAATAAATTGACTCGACCTTTAACTACTGATCAATTGTACTTGTGTGTACAGTCACACACATGTGTAAAGAGAGAAAGACATAGATCGATAGATACAAAAATACTCACTGTGAGACAGCAGTCACTTGTGGTTATGTGCAAAAGTACAGCCTCTGTAACCTCTACTACTATTTATGCTACAATTAGACTGACACAGGCACAAAGGAGTTCTTTCTGACCGATTCAGTTTACACCTCTGTATCGTCTGCCTGATTCAAGTCTGCACTAGTCATATAAAGACTGAATGTTATGATGATCTTTCTTAACAATTACAATTTTAATGCCACAGGAAGTTCCCAAGCCATGCAGTAATTCCATATCTGATAACACAATCCAAAACAGTCTGATAAAACAAGAACATACATTTCTGCTCGACTCCTTATAGACACAGCCTATGTAAAAACAAAATAGCACAGATCAACAAATTGTTTTACTTCTGAGCAGTAGCTGTTTCTGGTCGTGCCTATAAAGTAAACCTAGCATAGCAGAGTCATCTGAGTATTTGAAAATATAGTTCTGTGAGTGCTTTGGTGAACACTCATTTGTGTATCAGTGTGAAAAGAACAGGTGAGTTCACATAGCCTTGTGGAGCTCCAATACTGATGTTTTTTATAGCTGAGACATACTGTTGTTAACCTTCACCCGCTTTCTTAAAAATGAATACCACTTGATAAATGTTAGGTTTCTGAATAAAAAGGTATGGCTGCAAAGTGTTAAAAGAAGAGCTAATATCGATAAAAAAAACCATCTATCGATAAGAAACTACTGTTCTCAAGATGTTTTAAGTGCATGAAAGCTGTGATAGCATCATCCATACTTTGCCCTTGGCCATATGCAAACTGTAATTATTCTAATTTGTTGTTTACATCTGCTTTAAGACAAACAAACCTCTAACAACACATTTCATCACAACTCTTACATAAGTTGTGATGAAATGTCTTGAGAAATGTGATGCTGTCTATGTTGAAAAGGGATATAAACCAACTAGAAACATACTTGATGTGCTTGTCAACATCATGTTAGAGGTTACATGATGTTAACAAGTGCATTACATGTAGTGAAAGTGGAAAGGATGATATGCTGAGAAGGATATTCTGTATAGACTGACTCAGACACCACAAATCCACCTGGCGCCACTTACTGTTGGTGAAGCAGTCCCTGTTGGATCTTTTCAGGGTTCATATAGCTGAGGGGGAGAGTACAGTTCATCTGCAAACTGACTGTCCAAACATCTACCACCTACACACATTAAACCCAAGAGGTTGGAAAAATACAAGCTGTTTTGTTTTTCTCTGGATAGTGAAGAGGATGATGCAGTGTGATCAAACCATTTATACAAAAGGATGATTCAAATAGGTCGGCCTTGTTCAGCGGGACACATTAAACAAAACACTCAATGCCTCCTGGGTGTAGAGTGGACTATTTATGTGCTACACTATGCTGGTCATGTTTTTCTGTGTGCTGGCCTTGTACGCAGGGGTGTGTGTGTGTGTGTGTGTGTGTGTGTGTGTGTGTACTTTATGTGTATATGTAATTCCTTCACTGCTATGGAGGGCTAATAACAGTAACGTGAAATGGATTATGACAGATGATTCTTTGAAACTGTTAATAATGTATAGTGGTTTTACACAGATTATACTTAACATACAGTATAAAAAGTGCACAAATACTTATTGTTCTCACACACAGGAATGTGAGTAAGCATACACACACTGCTCCTGCAAATATGCACTTTGTTGAAACACAATTTTCTCTCAGGTCTGTTCATAAGACTTGAAAATACATCATGCCTTTTTCAAAGGTCAAATACTGAAACTAATTTTGAGTTTCAGACCAGACCAGTGTTGATAATTAATTCCTTAACATTTTATCACCACATCATTACTTTACAAGCCATACGTTTAACATGCAACAGTCTTCCTTAAAACCTGTAGACCATGCGTCCTAAAATGCCCTTTTTGCCTCTGTGGCCACAGTTGTCTGAATTGCAATACTGAATTATCTTCCCAAAGTATTATTACATTAAGATATCACATTATTTACAATATAGAGCTTCAGGTTTTGTATTTAACCTCACATGTACTTTTCTGCTGCTTTTTCTCATAGGATCTGTCTTAATACCACCCCTCTGGCTTTTATTATGAAACTTGAAACGCACACACAGAACACAGCCGAGTTTTCATCTTTGCTTCTTTTCTTTGCTCTTTCCAGGAGAGATGCCAATATAAATGAAATGACGGATCAAGCATGGTGGGATTAGTCATGAGTGAAAGAAAGCACCTGATCCTGTCTGTTGTATTAAAGCCCCATGAAGTAAAGTGTGTTCAATGGCAATTCAGGGCTTAAGTAAGCACCAAAGGTCACTGAGAGGCCAATATGAAGGAGGCTTTTGTGAGAACTGAGATTTCCAGATGATTCCAACAGAATATACAACAGAAATATACATTAGAATGTTATTAGGATATATTAGTGGGTTTCAATGAATCATGAACAAGAACAAAGGAAGAAATGATGTACTATTGTAATGGTGGTGGTGGAGTTTATATTTGTGTGTTTAGGAACTCGGAGTGAGCATCTCTTGGCTACCCACAACAACACATGCACATATGCAAATACATACATTCACACAAATAAAACAGATGATACACACTGACTGCTAAGTGATAAAATAGATTTTTACACATCAGCCAAATCCAAACCCTTCCGATCTCTACTGTGTCTGTCACTCATGCAAAAAAAAGCTCTGACGCTATTCAGGAAAGAGCACAGTACACATTTGTAAAAACAATGCAAGTTTCCTATGTTAATCACAGCTTCACCAACCCCTTGAAATATGATGACATTACAATGGGGTCTAATCGCCAAAAACTTCACATTTCTCATCTTCATTGTGCACATATCAGTTAAATATATTTGTTAATTCAAAAAATGAAGTTTCTCCTGATTAACGATTATTGATAGTTACTGAGTGAGTTCAGTCAGCCAGCTACATGGAATGGATTATTATGTAATTGTAAAATGTAGATGTTGATATTTTTTGTCAGTCCCTGCAAGCATACATCTAGTTCAGCTAAGCAGAGATTGGGGTGAGGCAATAATTATAACAAATTTGTACAAATACTAACAAGAGACACTGGTCAATGCCTAAATTAATCTCTTTCAAAATACATATATTTTCTCACAAATTCTTAACTTTATGATTTCAATAGCTTATATGTAGAAGACAATCATTCATAGTTTTGTTATATTTTATTACATTAAAAGGTAAAAGTAGCATATTCAATCTAATGCACAACACCACAAAAATAATAGTAACAATGTCAAAACATGCATCTCCAGTTTAATCAAAAGAAATGTGCTTTTTCAACAAATACACAAATGCAAACAGCAATCTATGTATATATATATATATATATATATGCTTAAACAGAGCGTAAATATAAAAATAACAGGTTCTGGTATGTAATGCATCAAGAATATTTCCGTTATTTTACTTTGAAATGTAACCTTGCCTCAGTTCCACTATGGATTTCCTTTAACTTATAATCAGGTAATATGTGAGTGGATATGGTCACTACAACAAACACTATTAATACACAGTTTCACAATATATTTATGAATGACCTGATGACCTTTCCTCCCTGCCAATTGAAAATGAATGTATAAAGGCATCTCCAATAAAATACAAACCCAGTGACATTAATAAACAATTAAAACACAATGTAAATACATAAAAGGCATAACTTAAACAATACTTTTAACAAAAAACAATATGTAAGAATTCACATGTATGGATGTACGATGTTGATGTGCATCTCGTTTTGTATATATACAGGGATTTTGTGTTGGATTTTGTCAGGCTGGTTCGCTTTGCTGCTCTGTCTTTCTGACGAGCGTTCTGAGTTTAGCAAATACAAGCTCTCTGAACTTGTCCCCCATAAAGAAGTAAAACACAGGGTTGATGACGCTGTGCAAGAAGGCCACTGGTCGGGTCAAGATGTACAGGCCCTCAATGTACATTTTTGTACACAATTGCAGCCCTGCCCAGGGCTGCATAGAAGCTATTCTGACATTTCTAAGCACATGGTAGGGAGTGTAGAGAAAAAAAAACATGGCTGCAGCTGATGCAACAACCCTGAGTGGCCGCTTGAATGATGTCCTGCGCTGTAGAGCTCTTTCCTGGACATGAAGCAGATGTGCAATTTGGTGAGAGAAACCACAAAGTCCGAGCAGAGGGAGAATGTAACCAGTAAACGTTAGTCCCAGGCTGTAGCCGAAGTTATTGATTTCTCCTTTTAGGCTGGCAAAATCCTTACAGCGGCTCCATTTTGCACTCTGCAGGTCGTGGACCATCAGTGCTATCATTGGAGCGACTTCCACATTGACAGCTAGCCAGCTCAGCCCTGTCACGATCAGGGCTGTCCGTGGCCTCAGCAGGTAGTGGTTCCTTGTTGGATGTCTTATGAGCAGGAAGCGGTCCATGCTAAGCCAAACCATGAAGAGGATGGAAGAGTAAAGATTGACATGCAGAATATAGCGGTTGATAACGCATGCAGAGGGGTTGGTCTCTGATTGGTCATTTGCATAGAGGTATGAGAGGTGTGGCAGTGTGCAGAGGAAAATAAGGTCAGAGACCGCCAGATTGAAGAGGTAAATATTGCAGCTCTGCCACTTCGGCAAACAAAATATGTAACCAAGTACAACCAAAAGGTTGGCGGGGAAACCAATGCAGAACTCGATGCCATAAGATGGTGACAGATAGTACCTCTTTAGCACATCACCTATCTTCGTACAATTTTGCACCTAAGAAGACGGAAGGAAAGGTGGGAAGACAACAGAAAAGGAGAAAACAGAGGACAAAAGAAGGAAGGGGAAGGGAGGGAAGGAGGGGGGGATTGAGGAGAGAAGAAATGAATGGGTGAGTAATGATAGAAGCAAAATCGTATGACTTTGGAACAGTGAACTTTAAGAACAATTTTCAATAACAGTTGAAACTAATTTTAGATTCAGAGCACAACCTAAATATTGTATGTGTTAGGGTAGGACTTACCATGCTGTACTTATCGTCTAGTAGTCGCTTGTAGCGTGAATAGGAAGTGTGACCATGAACAGGTGCAGCCACTATCTGTACAGTGGAAACAGTAAACACAGAATTCTGAGGGTACTGGTGCCTCTAATATGACATCCTACCACAATAGCCATTCCATATATGGCTGGAACATACTTTGAGAGTCATTTGCATATACAATATGGAAAGAGGATTCAAACCAAACACAAGCGAGCAGACTTAATAGGTTACTTTATAACTGTATGCCCATGGTAAGTCTGATCTGGTACTCCAATTCAGGAACACAGCAGCCCTCATGTAATATTAAAGTGCATACACAAGCTAAATGTCTGGAAAACATTTGAACTTTTCAACCAGCAGTTGCTGCAAAAAAATTGTTTATGGTTAATTTAATCTCCGTGGCAAGGGCACAACAGCAATGGCTAAGAAAGAAGTAGCTGTTAATTAGAATCCCCCCGAAAGCCTGTATCATATCCAACATCCATATTCAAAACTGCTACCTTCATCTGTCAATTGTTGATAAATCCAATCATCTGTGTGTAAGACTGTCAGTGAAACAACATTCAGTTTAACTGTGCCACCAAAGTTATTGTGGCATTACAAGAGAGTGCAACACATAAATGTATAAACATATATACATACACAACACAAATTAACACTTCATGTTTGAGTAGTTAAAACTAGTGGTTCACAATAAAATAAAATAAAATAAAAAAGTTGTCCAACCAGCTATTTTGGGCTGCAGTCCTCGTTTTCTTTTAATATTTATTTTCTTTCCCAGCGTATGAGAGAAGACATAGGGAAATGCAGAAAACTGTAAAAAGTAAAAAAAAAAGTCTTAGTTTGGAGCAATGCAGTGTCTCTTACAGTAGCAATACATTTGGGTCTGACTGCTTCTCTAAATTTAGTTTTAGAGTTATATACGCTTTCTTTTTGGCCTTATTTGGACATTCTATGTTTGATGATTACAGTTTCCGCAAGACAAAAACAAGATAATGAACTAATTCTATTCGTGGTGAATAAGCACTATATCCTACCCCTCCCCCTTTTGGTATGGTTTTGGTTCCCTTTTTTGTATCAGCCAATTCACAAATAAAACCACCTTCATTTCCTCTGTGTCTCAGACTTAATGTCTTAAAATAAACATTAGATTAGTTTCATGTGAACACATTACCTTCATTATCATTCACTCTATTGATTTATCTCAGTGTAGGAAATGTTTTATAATTATTTCTTTCCTGATCTTATTTTAACAATGTATTTACAATCTCCCAAGTCCTAAAGAATACATGTGGTCTCAGGCAACAATGAAAAACTCCAAATAGAATATTTGTATTAGTAAAACTGACTAAAACTATGAGACTCTGTTAGATGACTACAGTATCTGCAAGATAGGATAGTAATGACTAATGACTCTACCACTTGATTTCTTTTTTTTCTTTCAGTCAATTCACTTGATTCACTTACCCAAGCACATTTACTTACTCTCTTTATCTTACACTTAATGTATAAAATACATGCTAGATCAGTTTCAGATCAACACATTTCCTTCATCATTCACTCCATTGACTTATTTCAGTGTCAAAATATCTATCATCAATATACATTTATATCAATATCAATATACCATATTATATTATGTATTATAAATTGACTAACACACAAAACTAGTGTAAAACATTCAACCCTGAGCATATACTCTAGTTGCAATTTTTACATTTTCCATTATTAAAGCTCAGTTATTGCAATTATAGTTACATGCAGTGGTGCAGTGGTCCCTGGAGAAGTGGGTATACTCTCAATTTTTGCCCTTTTTTAATGCAGCCCAGAAAAACACCCTGTTTTAGAAACAGTGACATGTAAGACTACTCTATTTAGTTTACCCAAAAATCCGTCAGTAGTATTTGCTCAGTGTCACATAATTTCTGCTACTTGATCTCAGGGAGGAAGGATTATGAAATTACTAAACCAATACTGGCCCACAGACTAGTGAGAGACAACTATGCATTTTGAGTGAACTATTCCTTATTCCTAGAATGACACCTATTCTCTCACTTGGCAAGTCAGTAGTACTTTTGTAAACTGTCTTTGAACAGCTGATTTGCAACAGATAGCGTGGGCCAGAGTGTGCCACTATTATAAAATGAACATGACTTGATCAGGAGCAGTTTGTAGGTATAGATATTATATTATATATTATATTTATATAAGATATATAGGTATTACTGGTCACACAGGCAGCCTGCATGAATGTAAAATATAGATGAGGCAAACATGGTGTTTCAGTTATTTTTTGAACATTTATTTAAATAAAATTCTTCAGGTACCAACGGGGGTGGGGGGCAGAGCGGGCTCCGACGTTGGTCTTAACTGTACTCGTGTGGAAATTGTCAAATTAAATTTTTGTTTGGATAGCTCGCTTTATCTTACCGGTTCATTACAAATCCTAAAGGCAAATCATTTAAAGTAAACTTGTAAAAGTGAATTTGTCTTTAGCAATATTTACCTCGGCATGACCCGCCCTTCTCTGCCTCCGATTGGCTCATTCGTCATCATACCTGAAGTTAACCAATCTAATCAGTAAAGGCAGCGAGTACTAGCCAATTAGAGGCAGAGTAGCGTGGGTCATGGCTTCACCATCCTAGGGAAAAAATGGGTAATTTGGCTCGCAGATACTACTGAATGGTGCGCATCAGGGGGGGTTTAGAAGTGGGTATACGCAATGCTGACTGAAAAAAAAGTGGGTATACGCCGTATACCCGCGTATACCCTGGACTACACCAGTGGTTACATGTGTCAGTAATAGCAGAAATGGAGAGTATTCCTTCATTGAAAGAAGCGCAAAGAACTGGCTTTGGTAAGAGTTTGACTATGTTAAATGGTTTGTTGATCTGATTGGTTGGAGTTCGCCCATGATAGACGTGATAGATCTAATCACCTGCTGAGTATTTTTAGAAAGTGCCTGGCCTTTTCCAAACAGTTTCCAATAACTACTTTCCCGCTGAACAAACCATCTGGTGCAGTCAGGTTAGAGAAGTGTCAAATTGGCAAACACGTGTCTTCCCCTCCTTCAAAGGGGTGTCGAATGATTTAACAGGATTTGAACCTGGCTCTAGTCTACCTACTCATTAAATGACATTTTATCAATGATTTTCTGTCTCTCTCTTTTGGAACTGCCAGTCATTCTTTGGGAGGGATGGCCTTCATCAAAACAGCCTGGGCACTTGCATTTTATATTTTTCTGTTTTTAATATCATTAAAAAGTAAATGTACACCTCACCCACATATCTGACTGCAGCACTGGCCACAAATTACAGCTTCTTCTGTCTGCTCAGATCTGCTCTGCACACACTTTCAGACTCACTGGCTCCCACGAGTGGACCGGCTGTAGTGGACATTAGGCTAGCGAAGTAGTACGAGAGTGAGTGGAGGCCTTGCTGTTAAAAATGAGCACAAATTCAGCCCTATTACTGTCAATGACTTCTCACGCTTTGAAGTGATGATTCTTGGAATTACTAGGGTCATTCCAGTGTTTCGTCACAACCTGCGAGACTTAGAAAAAAAGTTTATCTAGAGGCTAGCTATTTCAGGCTATTTATAATATTAATATTATTTCAATATATTTCTGTCCTTGCTTACTAGACAATATCTTCTTCCCCAAAATATTTAAGTAAATGTAAAAGGCTTAGTTTTAAGCAAAGCAGTGTCTTAAATGTCCCTATTTTTTTTTCATTTAAGTCAGCTAACCCACACAAACACATTTATTTCTTCTCTTGGTCAAATGCTTTTTGGTGCTCCAATATTTTGGTTTTCCAAGAAAGGTTGGATGTTAGGATGTGTAATACATACAGTTTTAATATAGTCAAGTGATTTTACAAAAAAGTTGACACGTGAAGCAGTGTTTCAGTGTATGCACAACTTTCATGAAGCGATGAATTAGGGAGAGGTTGAACTAATGCTTAGTATTCCAGATCTTATTGGAACCTGTAAACGTGCTAGTGAGCATGTAGCTTTCTTAACTAATCTCATACCATTGTTACTCAACTCTCAACAGTGTGGGAGTGATGTGACCCAAACCTGACCCCCTTATTGAATATTTGTTGACATAAAGTAGGTGTCTTTAATTCTAATCTTTTGAAATTGAACATGCTGATTAAAGAAACGAAAAGAAAAGAAACGTTCAAATGCTCTTTTCACATCAGAAAAGAGTAAGGCCTTAGAGTAATTATAATGGCTATGAAAAGAAATACATTCAAATGTTCCTGTTTGTATTTGAAGCTCTGATAATCAGAAAATGTGAACTACATCAATAATTCATTCACTTTGCTTTGGAACATATGCTGATAACAAAACAATACCACAGTGTTGACTTTTGAATTTTCAATCTATGGTGTCAAGCGCCTGTCCTGTGGTTGCATAACACACCCCAATCTTGATGATGTTGGTTCTGATAGGGAGCCTACAGTATATTTTGGCAACAAAGCTTACAATGTTGATCAACCTTTATAAAGCACATGATCTACTGCTGAGAGACATGTGAGACAAAGTGAGGGTTTTTTTTTTTTTTTTTTACCTTACTCTGCAGGGAAGTAAGCTAGATATAATAGAATGGGCATGTCCTGAGGAAACCCAGCCTGGGACTGACAGTGGTTTGTTTGGATATATTATTATGGGATCAAGAGTAATCTTTCAGCATTCCTGTGCTGTAGAAGGGTAAGGATCTGTTCTGGTGGGGGCCAACAGTGGGGCAGTGACACAAGTTATTTTTATTACTAACTGATATAATACTGTTAGCTTATGCTATAGTATTCTTTGGTTGATACAATTTATAAATCACAAACCTAAATCACTAAAATCTAACCATATATCCAATAATCCCTTAATATTTGTTAATATAGTACAATAAAAGTGATTGTTTTTTTTACATAGTGACAGTGCCCCCTGGTGGCAGACCACAGTAAACACAGTAGCAAGTGCTGCTAAAAGGTTGTTGTCATTTCACACATGACCATTCTTCATTACTGATTGTTGTCAGGTTGACCAACCGGTGCACATCAAGCGGAGACTTCTGGAGATTTCTCAACTTTAGTCCATGTGACTGGCTCCTGTTTGGCCTTGAAAGTAAAAGTACTCATATTTTATAGGATTATAGGTCAAATATGACTGTATGCACATTTACAGCATTTGGCAGTTGAAAATGATCAAGAGTGACTTACAGTAAAACAGTACTCAGTAATCACGTTGGAGGTGGAAGAGAAAAACACAAGGAACCGAAGGAAAGGAAAGACATTCAGGATTTGAACCCCTGGCCTCACAATCACCAAACAATGTTTTTCTCTTTTATTTTTTATAGTCTTCCAGCAGTATGACCTTCAATCATTTCTAGCCCTGCAGATGGAGACTGGATACTTGCCAATACATCATCCCCTCTAACACCCACTGGTGCCATATTTCTTTATATCTCTATTTCAGAGAAATAGGGCGTGACTTCAGCAAGTGGATTAACTTAAAGCAGACCATAAGGCGTGTATGTACATGTGTGGGTGAACCATTCTTAAGAACTATAAGCTACAACCGCCATACAGTACACTAAACCAGCATGACACCTAACTGCAGTGATGTGTACTTGTGACCCCCAGTCTCTCACTTGTGCCCTTTTGCATTTTTTGCATTTTATTTAAATGATTTCTGTCCTGAAGAAGTACATTTAGCCAGAAAAGCAAAGACAAGAGTAAAACCTGTGCAGCAGGTTTTCAGCTTTTCTCTCTTGGTAATCATCTCACAAACACTCCCTGTAGCACTGCACCAACCACAAGTGTGCCTTTTAATTTAAATGTGAATGCAGTTGCTGAAAACTCTAGCCCACCTGTATGTGCATGTTTGTGGAGTAGTGTATAGGTATGGTATAGGTATAGTATAGTATAGTTTAGTATAGTAGGTATAAAAGGAGCCAATAAATGTATTTCTATAGTGTGATCATTATTAAAAATATATACAAAATAAGACCAGAAAATGAAACTGTGTTTAAGTTGATGGAAATTGTATATAAATCATAGCATACATATGATACAAATTTAGTCCAGCAGAGGGCAGTATTACCCCAAAGCTCAGATGGTGGGCTAAAACTCCACAAGTGTCCTGCATTATGTTTTTGGAAAATTGCACTAATGGAATTATGTGACAACAACAAAAACTAGATAAATAACAAGAGATTAAAAAACAATAAAAAGTGATA